CCCTGCAATTTCCTTCGAATCCCTACCCTCGCCCTTCTTCTTCTCCCACTCGAGATCTATCAACTCTTTCATCGTCTTGAACTCCGACTCTGCATCCGCATCCAAATCCAAAACCCTAGCTTCGTCTCCACCGTCGTCCTTATCCCCATCTCTCAATTCGACATCGAACTTTCTCGGCACTCCTTTGCGGTCGTCGTCGATGTTAAAGAGCTCGGACAGAGTGTTCCGGGCCCTGACATTGCACGACTTGCGCCGGGTCGGGTCCGGGGCGTTGGCCGACGACGATTCGGGTCTCGTTCCGGAACACGACTTGCTTCTCCGGAGCTCAGACCCAGAATGGGGGTTCTGGGTCAAGGGTTCTTGGTGAGCGGCGGAGTCGAGGCCGGCGAGGCGTTCGCTGAGGCAGGGGGCGCAGAAACCGGTTATGGGTTTGGTAGGGTGGCGGTGACAGGTGGAGAGGCGGTGAGTTTGCGCTTTCATGGCTTTTCCTAGGACTGGAGGAGGAGGGCGGCGGTTGTTGAGAGAGCGTGCATGGCAGAAGAAGGAAGTGGGGTGTCAGTGAGAGAGGCGGTGAGGTTGAGAAAGGAATGGGAAATTGCAAAAAATGGAAACCCCGGATAAACCCCTTTTTGGGATTTTATGGTATCCATGAATCTCTTTATTTTATTTTATTTTTTCTAAGCAGTTAGCATGGAGACGTATGATCTAATTTTTACAGAGAAAAAAGAATCCTATGCAAAGATGATCAAACAACTCTTAATCATGGCCCTAAACCCTAAACTCTTAAAAATCCAATTTTAGTCGGACGATCTTGTATCAACGGCCAGTATTAGTTGATTCTAAGAGTTCACATAGAGAGATTCGGATATAATTTTTGTCTTTCTGAAAACATTCAGATAGTTACAATGTTTGTCGTTTTTGTTCTAGTTATTTGAATTGAATAATCAACAGATAAAAACAAAGAAAGAAGTGTAGGAGCATAAACGAGAGTGCGAAAGTTGTTTTCCTTTTTTGTAATATCAACTTCAATTTTTTTTTTTTGGATTAAATCAAACAATAATTATCAAATTATTTGGTATATGACAAATGAATTTGTTAAGAAGTAAAAGGATTAGCTAGTTCATGAGTACCTCACTTGAAACCTGTTCACAAGTCTAGAGTACTTCGCTTGCAACAGAAGAAGGCCGAGAAAGCAAATATTAGTGTGAAGAAGAAGGAAACCAACAGCTTTTCGGGCCACAGAAAGCCCAACACATTAGTCCCCCACTTTTCTTAGATTTTGGGTTTGCGAACGGAAACAGATGCAAAATCCAACCACTTCCATTCGGACGTGCACAAAATTTGTAGGTCAACTGCACTAAGGACGCCACCATTGACATAGAAATCAACAAATAATGTAGCATTCCCAAACCGATGTGTTGTTTAAATATGAGCCTTAGAATCTTTGATTTATTAAATATATGCATTCTCGAAATACTTGCTCAATGTTTGTCTTTTCACATTTCACCTTCCAAAAAAGAGTTACTTGTATATGTCGGAGAATAGAATCTCATATTGATCATATGACAAAATAATATACAATTGATATTTGAGAGTTTCCACTTTCATATCACCAAGGTATTTTGCAACAAAAACCCAACACCTAGTAATAGGTGGTTAAGTTGGAACAATATTGATATTAATGGTGGACCATGCTGGGTCAAAAAAGTTTATCATAATATTATAGCAGACTATTCTTTCGACACATTCTTGACCCGATTTACTAGGCTTGAATTTGCTTCCTTATGTTGGGCTTTAGAAAAGTTGGGCTAGCTCTAGTTTAAGGATATTGAATGATTGAGCCCTCAAAAAGTTGTGTTGGCTTTAGTCCCTGAATGAATGATCGACCTCTCGAAAAGTTGTATTGGCTCTAGTTCCTAAATGAATGACTGACCTCTTGAAAAGTTGTGTTACCTCTATATAATGACTTGACCAATTTCTATTGTGGGAATTAGTTTCCCATGTGACCCCGTATGGACCACTCGTGAGGAGGTGTGTTGGAGATAGGATTCCACATTAGTCATGTGACAAAATAATATATAATCAATATATATGAATTTTCACCCTTAATATTACTAATGTCTTTTGTAATAAAACTCAACACCTAGCAATATGTAGGGCTGGTTTTGTATTGTTGTGCTTTGAAAAAAAACTGCTTTTGTTGTGCTGTGAGAATAAGTAGATGTGAAATAAAGCAGCATAGTGTTTGGTAAACTTTTATGTAAAAGTGCTTTTGAAAAAAAAAAAAGCAGTATGATAGTGTTTGGTAAACTTTAATGTAAAACAGTTGTGACTGTGTGAAATGAGCAAAAAGGTATAATACTAGATGTGCTATGACAAGCCACAACGTCGTTCGCTGGCAACCTCTCCACCTTCGTCTTCCTCTCCCTCCTCATCTTCTCCTTCCACACGGTCGACGAAAATGGGACCCACCTCCTCACCTCCTTCATCGACTGAGACCCTTCTCTTAAATCCCTCATCTCCTGCCTCGACCTCGCTGGCACTAGCAATACCAACCACCGCTCTCCCAGATCTCTAGCCGAGTCCCCTTCTCTGATCTCTCTCCACCGCCGACACCGCCCATTTCTTCACCTCACCCGCGTCGGAACCTTAGACGACGATTTCTTCTCCATCAATGACGACGGCGTTCACTCCCTCTTTAACCCCAATTGGATCGCCCCAATCCTCATTTTCTCCTCCTCCTCTCACTCCAAATTAGGGTTTAATGGAACTTACGGGACTAGGGTTTCTGAAATTGTGCGCTCCAACCTCACGTTCAAGGCTGAGAAATTCACCATTTCTGATGACAGAGCTAGAGGAAGAGATGGCGACGGAGAAAGCAATGAAAGGGAGGAGAAATGCGGCGATGAAGAAATGGACGATCAGGGCGTCGATTTGTAATTCTTGATCAAGGATTGGAGCTGGGTCGCCGGGACATGGCGTTGTTCTTCCTCTTGAAAGTGTGAGGAATCAGGAGAAACTTTGAAAATAAGCCACTTTTTGAAGCTGCTTTTTGCAGCTTCCACTTTTTAGCTTTTTTTCATCTGAAATTTTGAAAAACAGCTGGTTTGGGGTGTTTACCAAACACCAAAAACTCTCCCAACTTTTTTTTCATACCAATTTTTTTTTAAATCACCTCAACTCCAAACCATACCGTAGTTAAGTTGGAATACTATCAATAATATTGACGGTGAACCCGACACTACCCCATAACGACCTCAGCCTCCGAGATTCCTCACCCAAGAATCTTTCTTGCACCACTGGGACTAGGAGAACATGACTGAAGTCTAGCAGTCTGGAGCCATGTCACCTCATAAAGTCAACCCATAAGTCGTATTCACCATTAATCTTCTAAGATCGTTTCGGATCACACACCACAGATGTTTTGATTGATCAATCAAGGTCAAAATTATTTCGTTTTCAAAGCCATGTTGCAGCTATGAGAATGTCAATGAGAAATTTACAAATATCATCCTCATATTTATTATTTACTTGGTTGATTTGGTACTTGTGACAATGTGACTTCAATTTTTTTTTTTTAACTTATAATTCTTGTTAAGGCTTTTTAGTTAAAATGGTTTATGAGATTGCTGTAATTTCTAATTTCAATTTCTGATAATGAAAATCGATAGAATTGATCTCTGGTGTCTACCTTTGTCAATATCTTCATTAATTGTCATGTGGACGACGCTGTGACAACCTTTTAAAGGGTATTTTTGTCAAACCAACCTCTCCACTTAACGAGGACATCGACAAATTTTTTCCGGAATGTTTTACGGTGGTTAAACTCATAAACCACTTCTAGCAATTTTCAATTTCAAAGATTAAAGTGAGGAATTATGCCAATTTTAGAGACAATTTTGGCTAAAAAGCATTCGTGTTAAAAGTATTGTAATGTCAAACGACAACAGAGAACAGATTCATTGCAAATTGCTTGACCACCAACGACCAATGTGGATATAATTTGGTGCCCTCTCTAATTGGGGGAATGAATATATTCCATATATCTTGACATCTTGTGCACTGAAATAGTTTGAGTATTCAAGCAGCCTCCGACGTGGGAACTACAATTTGGTGACAGTCTGAATCTATTTACTCACTTTTCAATGGCTATAAATAGATGCATAGTTCAACTGTGGAGAATATAGCAAGCTATGCAGCAGAATTCAGAGGAAGAGAAGTCTTGTATGAAGGTGAAGAGCCATGTTTGGTAGCCAAGGATGACTTGCCTAATCAAACATCATATATATATATATATGTTTATGTATTTATATTGTGGTTCGTAGCTAGGCAGTCGTCTTTGAGCTACTCTGACTGGCTCTTATCTTTCATGCTAGACTTTCCTCTCTTCCATTTTTACGTAGTTAAGTCTCTCTTTGCCATTACATGAAAAGCGAGCAACGATTACCAAGATTAGTAGCTATTTGGTTGCAGCTATTGGCGTAACAATGATTGTTACTAATGAGAAAAATGTGTGCTGATGTCAGTCGTTTTGCTTTATATATATTATTGGATATGCATTTTGATTGTGACTGACTGCAGAGCGTATGCACAATGGCTAGCCCTAAAGGTACATTTCTATCTGCATGCATGCAATGTGCAGCTGGTGAAGGCAACCACTTCTCACCGTTCGCCACTCAAACCCTAGCAAGAAATGCGCATTTGGACATAATACATATCGTTGATATATCATTAATATTTGGAAGTTATTATTGATATGACGTCTGTATTTAGCATCAATACGTCAATATAATGTTGTTAAGATTCGATTATTATATCATCGGTTACGTCATTTTTGTTGTTCGTGTATTATAGACATCTGATATTTTTTTAATAGAGACCAGCTGTTGGTTTTACCACGTCAATCCACCTTTTTAAGGCCAGGACTCACCAGGCATTTCAACCATCTGATTAAAATGCCCTAAAAATCCCCCTCATTGTAGAAGCCTCCCTGGTCATAAGCCTATGTGGGTTGAAAAATAAACCAACTTTGAAAATGAATATAAGCCCATTCGAACCCGGCCCGCTCAACTTCAGCAAAGATGGATCTGAGTCAAGGTGGTGCAAAAGTCAGCATGGAGAAGGCGTGACCCACGACGAGTCAGATGCGCCGGCGCCGGGCCGAGCTTCTACGAGCCTTACGCTCTTCGCGGCATCCGAGTCGACCGAGTCGAATCCGGACTCGTCGTCTGATTTTTCAAGGTCCCTCTCGCCTCAGTGTAAGCTACAGAGCCCCTCACTCGTTTGATCACAAGTCAAAATTTTCTGTAATTTTATCGAAATGAACTTCTGCTACTAATTGGGATTATTAGGAGCATCAAATTAGGCTAATTTAACTCAAAATTTAGCTGATTTTACTTGAAACTTAGCTAATTTGACTTGAATTTTAGCTTATTGAACCTGAAATTTAGCTAATTTAACATAAATTTTAGCTTATTTAACTAATTTAGCTAATTTGAGGCGTGATCCTAAATTGATTTGGCTTAAAGTTTGCAGCCAACAACATGGAGAATGCGAAGAAGTCTGTGGAGTTGACGCAGGACGAGTCAGAAGCCTTCTCGCGACTCGTCCTTCCGGAACCCCAACCAGGGGTATGTATATACAATCATTTCGCCACCAGAGGCATCCGAGTCGACCGAGTCGAACCCGGACTCGTTGTCTGTACTCTCAAGGTCCCTCCCCGCCTCACTGTGAGTCTTCTACTCACCAGCAGATCTGGATTTAGTCAATTTGGCTAGAGGAGTGTGGTCTCCCATTTGCACGCGAGTTCGAATCTCCCTCGCCGTAACTTAGATGAATTTAGTGTAGAATTAGCAGTGGTTATGTTAATTGCAAACAAGGAGTTCAATGCTTGTGCGCGGTTTTGGAATTGTGTTTCTTGTGTTTGCAGGATAGAGCTGGAAATTTGGCTAATGGTGCAATTGCAAACCTTGTTGATCAAGTTGGTGCTGTTGTTCATGTTAGGGGTCTCCCGGTGAACGTTTCAGTGGACATTTCCATCTCGTTCATGTCAAAGGCGAAGCTTGGTGTAAGCAAACTTTCCACTCATGTAAAATCTCCGTTTTTCTTTCGGATTTAGCAACCTCTGAATTGGGCATACATGTACATGTTCAATCTAATAGACTAGACAATCAATATTGCGAATGCTTAAACTTCTGTGCTGAAAAGCTCTGTTGGCATTTTGATTAGCAGAATTTGGCTTTTGTAATGTGAGTCTGATATCGGTTGTTGTCCCTTGTTGAGTATTGCTTGTCAAAGGGGAATGATTAGGAATTCGAAAGAATCTGATTGCTCGTTTATGGCTATTCATTTGTGTTTCCAGTGGTGGGATTTTCATTGCTCACCATGTCATGTGCGTGCGATATATGATTCACGTTTGTGTATATTTAGCTCTAACATCTTATACCTGTACCGTTCTGATTTCATCGCATTTCTTGAAGGGACCTGTGGCATCTGATTGCTCTTGATCTCAAATTGCAGGATGAGTTAGAGATCACGTCAAGGGTGTTAGGACAACTAGGTCGTTATTGTGGAACATCAATACTTGTGAGAAACAAAGCAACCGGTGAGGTAATTGCTGAAGGTCGGCATTCGTTGTTTGCTATACATACTAGCAAACTCTGAGTCCTTTTTCACTTCACTATGTATATAGGTGGAATGAAGGGAGCTCTTTGGGGGCATAGGTTGAATCTTTTCGTAGTTTCGCTTTCTTTTGGGAAATAAGTGTTTTGTCATTGAATAAGGATTGAGAATTATGTTTAACATACATGGTCCAGATTCTGGCCTCAAATTTAGTGAACTGTTTTCAACTGCTATTGTTACCTGTTTTTCACTTCATCTTTTTTGCTGATTTGCTTGTACACAATCAAACATAACCCGAATCTTCACTCTGGTTGCCGGTTTTGCACTTTCCGTCGAAGTTTGTCTTTCCTCATAATAGGACGATTAAGATTGATTAGTAATTAGCGCGGATGTTATTCATGACTTGATGCTTCGTTCAGTTCGACTTTTTTTTCGGAATTCTTATATAAGATTCAATTGTGTAGACTAGCAGGTAGTAAATTTCACTCCAGAGTGCCTGGTAGTAAAAGGCTTCTTTCTATGAATCAAATTTTCATATCAAACACTTCTGTGGGTTATACTGTATGTAACTATGTTTTTGTATGCATCGCATGCAAGCCCAAGTCCTTTTAAATTTGTTTTCTCTCCTCTTGTGAGAGTCTTTCTCGCCGTGTGAGTGGTCTTTGATTTCGTCGATCCACGTCGCAGCTGGCTCTAGTTGTGGCTTGAATCGGTGGCAGTTCCATGCTTTTCCTTTGTTTTCATCTTTTCCTTGCTCTTCATGTGTGCCCGTCCATCACGATCTCCTCCTTTTTATCTCCTTGCCTGTTATCTCACCACTTTGAGCCCTGTTCCCCAATCATTCGTGTCCGCCATCCTTCTCAAGCCTTTCCTCTCCATCATCTTCGTCATTTGGCTCCATCGTCTCTCTGCCCATACCCAATTCCATTTAGTTACCGCCGGTGTTCGCTGCGATTTGTCATTGTCTATGGGAGGTTGCATAGAGTTTTGGCTCGGTCACCTTTGTTGGCCCTTGTTGGTCCTTCCCGGTGTTTGGCCTTATCGGCTACGTTGCTCGTGGGGTATGTCTTCCCTCGTGCTTACTTGGTTTCGTGGCGGAGGTTGTTGTGGTAGTCCTTCGAGGATGATGCGGCCTTTTTCTTCCTTAATTATGGGGTTCTTGCTGGTGTGATCTCTGGTGCTTGGGGGGGGTCAATCAACAGCGGCTGTGGTGGCAACAGAGCTACAAGGGTTTTTGCTTTCTGTGGGTTTGCTGTGTTCTGTGAGTTTGTTGTGTGCTCAACCTTTGGGTTGGGTTTTTATTGCTTTGGGGGTCCAACTTTTAGTCTTGTGCCTTATTCGTAACTAGACCTTTGTTTGTGTAAGCTTGCTTTTTTTTTTCTTTTTTTTTTAAAGGAGAATATCCTGAATAAGAGTAGAAGGTTCCTCAATCCAAACTAAATTATTGCTACTAGACAAAGCAAACTTTGCAAGACGGAGGGCAACCCCATTACATAAACGAGAAACATGAATGAAACTCAACATAGAGAAGGAGGATGGCAGTTGCAACACATCATCTGCGATCAAATCTATTGCTGGCGAGTTTGAATAGGTCCTATTAAGTGCTGCTAGTAATGAATTTTACTTTTGTCCAAAAAAACATTTATGGATGCATTCAAGAGATCAAATTATGAAAACTTTTGATGAAGATTGTAGTTTGAGAAATAAACGTTGAAGATTAACTATAAGAAATTGAATAGTTGACCGTTAGTAATCGAAACAATAAAATTTGTTTAAAAAATCGAACTACTTAGTAGGCTTCGTAGTTAAAACATTGATGCTTGAGAATCAAAACAATTAGGAAAATGTTAAGGAGACAATCTCTTTTTTAATAATCTTAATAAAAAAATTCAACCATCAACTATCACATTATGCGATTTACAAAATATAGTCTAAAACATTAATCTCACTAACATCGCCCAAACATTTAATTCACGGATTTGGATCCTCTCCTGAGCCAATGGAGAGGATCCTCCTGACCAGCCATTGTGGGCCGTTGGATTTTCATTCAACGGCTATAATTATTATAACTTTAAAATGACCCAAATTTGTAATCGTTGGATAAAAATCCAACGGCCCATAATGGCTGGTCAGGAGGATCTTCCCCATTGGCTTAGGAGAGGATCCAAATCCTTAATTCACAAAGGTAAGTGGGACCCAATCCCACTCTCTTGACGTTTTAACGGTTCAGCCAAAGCGGATAGAATAGTGGGAAACGCCGCCAACAAAATGGAGAATGCGAAGAATTCTGTGGAGTTGACGGAGGACGAGTTAGAGGCCTTCTCGCGACTCGTCCTTCCGGAACCCCAAACAGGGGAATGCATATACAATCATTTCGCCATCACAGGCATCCGAGTCGACCGAGTTGAACCCGGATTCGTCGCCTGTACTCTCAAGGTCCCTCCCCGCCTCACTGTGAGTCTTCTAACCACCAGCAGATCTGGATTTATTCAATTTGACTAGAGCAGTTTGGCCTTCCATCTACACACAAGTTCGAATCCCCCTCCCGTAGCTTAGAAGAATTCAATCAATTTAGCTAGACCGGTGTGGTCTTCCATCTGCACGCGAGTTTGAATCTCCCTCCCCGTAGTTTAGATGAATTTAGCGTAGAATTAGTAGTGGTTATGTCAATTGAAAACACGAGTTTAACGCTCGGTTTTGGAATTGTGTTTATTGTGTTTGCAGGATAGAGCTGGAAATTTGGCTAATGGTGCAATTGCAAACCTTGTTGATCTAGTTGGTGCTTCTGTTCATTTTAGGGGTCTCCCCATGAACGTTTCGGTGGACATTTCCATCTCGTATCTGTCAAAGGCGAAGCTTGGTGTAAGCAAACTTTCCGCTCATATAAAATCTCCGTTTTTCGTTCAGATTTAGCAGTCTCTGAATTGGCCATACATTCACATGTCAATCTTATAGACTAGGTAATCAATATTGCGAATGCACAAACTTTTCTGGAGGTGGTAGTAGGTTTTAACACCCATGAACGTGAGTTTGATATCCGTCGTTGTCCCTTGTTGAGTATTCCTTGTCAAAGGGGGATGGTTACCAGTTCGAAACAATCTGATTGCTCTTCTTTGGCTATTTTCTTGGGTTTCTAGTGGCGAGATTTTCATCGCTCGCCATGTCATGTGCGCGCGATATATGATTCGCGTTTGTGTATATTTGGCTGTAACATCTTATTCCTGTTTCGTTCTGGTTTCATCGCATTTCTTGAAGGGACGTGCAGCAGCTGATTGCTCTTGATCTCAAATTGCAGGATGAGTTAGAGATCACCTCAAAAAGTTTAGGACAACGAGGTCGTTATTCCGGAGTATCGATACTTGTGAGAAACAAAGCAACTGGGGAGATGATTGCTGAAGGTCGACATTCATTGTTTCGTTCTGCTGCTAGCAAACTCTGAGTCATTTCCAGAGCTGTACGTGAAGGGAAATCTCCATTTATGGTTGTTTTCCCTTGTAATTATTCTTTTCCTTTTTATGTAGTAAAGATCACAATCTTAAAAGGACGTAGACCAATACCCAAATTGGTGCTTTTCTCCCTGTGCACCCGTATTTTTATTTCTGTCTCTTGATTCTCTTTATGAAAAATGATGGGCATAAATAACTTCGCTTATCTATGCGTTGCTTCCTATTTTTATTTTATTTTCTTTCTTCAAGTACTGGATTAGAGATCGAAAAGAAAAGTGCTTATAATTTAAAGCGATTAAAAGCATTTTGTTTTGCACCCAAGGTCACGTGTTCAATTATTTTCTAGTTATATGTTTATTAAAAGAAAAGTAAAATAAGGATTCAGATTCTTGGCAATATATACTTCCCTATTACATTTCATTGCGATTTATGAGCAAATATATGGTGTAATTATTACTGTCACATAATATTATAAATTTATTTATGTTATTACACATGTATTTATTTATTTATTGGCTACATTGGATGTTTCATACCTTGAACCTAGCTAGCTTACTCCTATCCTATGCAAAGGCAGATGGGTGGGCAAACGGGTACAGGAACCGCGGGTCGGGGTGGGTAATGGCGGTTCAGGGCGGGTATGGGCCGGTTCTTAATTTTGTAAAAAAAGATCGGGGCGGGGCGGGCCGGGTAATTGAAGTTTTCGATTCGGGCCGGTTCCAAAAGTGTAGGAACCGCGGGTACCCGGACCGGCCCGTGTGTGTTACAATGGACGGACGAGATTTAAGATACATCTCTCCATCCAATCTCAACCGCCAGTTTCAACTTAGCCAAGTCCACCTCTCGAGTTCGAGAAGCACCCTCTCAGACTTCAGTCTCTCAGATTCTCACTCTCCCTCGACTCCCTCGACTCCCTCTCCCTATCCCTTCCTTCCCTCACTCTCATACTCTCTCAGTCTCACTCACACACTTACTCTCACAGTGCTCACCGCCGTCGGGACCAACTCTCAGACTCTCACAGCGCTGTCGCGACCAACACAACGGCACCACCTCCGCCGTCGCGACCACCATCATCACCCCATCACCACCGCCGTCGCGACCACCTGCTGCTACTAAAATTTAGGTAATTTTGAATCAGGTTTTATTATTAATGTGAATTTCTGGTGTAGGGATTTTATGGATTTTAGGGATTTTAGGGATTTTAGGGATTTTAGGGATTTGCCGAAGCAAGAAGAGGTTGTTATGGAACGGGAATCGTAGAGAGAGACAACGTCACTGCTGTGCAATCCAAACTCAGTCGGAACTTGTTCCAACGCGACTCAATACGTGTTTTGGGATAGCGTCCATCAATCTCAAGCCGCTAACTAACCATTGGATAAGAAGATTATACGGATCTTTCTGTATCTCAAAAAATGTTTAAAGACTGCTACTACTTGCTTTAAATACTGCTATGTTCCGATTGATTTAGCTAAACAGTTTTAACAGAAGAGATTTTATACAGAACCAATTAGATTTAGCAAATCTTTTGCAATGTTTTGCAAATTTACCAAAAGACAGCACCAAAATGCTTTAGTTAGGCGAAGCTACTTATGGGTAGTTAGTTTGGTTTTGGCAGTGTTCATCATACAATTTTTTATTTACCATTCTTCTGTTCTTTTATGTATGAAGATGATCTGTTTATAACACAATGATCGTATTTAAGAAGTTAAATTATGTTTTCCTTTTTGTCTTAACTGATTTTGTTTTCCCTTTTTTTCCTTGTAGGCACTCCATGGACTGAAGATGAACATACTAACTACATAGCTTGGTAAAGGTGATTGGCTGACGATATAGGTGCCAGCATTGGTCTTCTTTAAATTGAAAATAAGTGATTTAGTTTAGACTTACATTTACCATGGGTAGTGAGTTTAATTGTTCGCTCTTTATGCCCATTTGCTCTTTATGGTTAATTGTGTTCACTTTGTTCATAGTTTTTTTTGCTTAGTTAACTCAGCATTTTAGTTACTGTATAGTTATTTGTTGGAGATTTTGGTAGTGAGTTTTTAAGTGATCTAATAATTCGGTTTTCGATTTTGCGCATATTTAGGTGAACTTGATCATGGGTTTTGGATTTTTTTGTATAAATAAGGGAATTTGATATTGGATTAATGATATTTGTGTATATTTTTGGTGAATTTTGTATGGGGCTGTTTATGTTTATGTTTGTGTAAATGACAAAATGTTGAGGTGAATCTGATGTGGAGATTTTGGTTTTTAGGGGTTTAGGAGCTGGTGAGTCTGTAGAATAAGCTAATTTCTTGACCCGTTTCGTAAAATTTGCGATAGGGATTGGTATGTAATGTTATGAGGGAGGGGCATCTGATTTCTGTGCTTGGATCTGTGATTAGTATTTGATTAAGTGCATCATACTGGAATCTGTGTAAACTGCAATCTGTGCAGTTTGAAACAATCTGTGTAAACTGCAATTTGTGCAGTTTTTTTCAAACTGCAATATGTGTAAACTGCAATCCGTGCAGTTTAAAAACTGCAATCTGTAAATTAAGTGCATCATACTGGAATCTGTGTAAACTGCAATCTGTGCAGTTTGAAACAATCTGTGTAAATTGCAATTTGTGCAGTTTTTTCAAACTGCAATATGTGTAAACTGCAATCTGTGCAGTTTAAAAACTGCAATCTGTAAACTGTAATCTGTAAACTGCAATATGTGTAAACTGTAATCTGTAAACTGTAATCTGTAAACTGCAATATGTGCAATTTAAAAACTGCAATCTGTCTGTGCAGTTTCTGCAATCTGTGCAGTTTTTTCAAACTGCAATCTGTGCAAAATGTGCAATCTGTGTAACAAACATTTATAAACAGCAAAAAAAAAAAAAAAAGGACCCGTGTACCCGGACCGAACCGGCCCGTTTCAACCGGACCGGGTAAGGTCCGGTTCCTATTTTCAGAATTGTAATGCCCGGCCCGGCCCGCCCCGTCTCCTTTAATTTAGGGTCCGGTCCGGTCCCTTCAAAAATGGGCCCGGCCCGGCCCGTGCCCAGCCCTAAGATGCACGATTGGACCTAGGTGGTCCCAGGACCACCCGCAGTTCAAAAAATATACATCCGAAGGTCTTTTGAGGACCCTATGAATGTTTTGTATTGGTCCTTTTGTACCTACTAAGTGTTTTGATGTAATACTTGCTAGGCATATCTAGATAGGTTGCATGGACAACACTCAATTAATCATCTCGATATCACTCAACAAGTGTTAAACGAAATGCCGTAGTGAATAAAGGGAAATTTTTTTTGCAGGCTTCGCGCTCTGTTTCTATCTAAAAAAATTGAATATGTAACACTATGACCATCTAAGATCCGCAGGGCCGGTCCTGAGTTTTTGGATGCCCAATGCGAAAGCTCAAAATGTGCCCTTTTTTAATACTAAAATATATGTTAAAAAAAAATTAACGAGGGCTAGAATCCAGTCGAAGCTGGGGGGGGGCTAGGCCCTCATGCCCAAATTATATTACTTGAGAAAATATACAATGGGGGGGGGGGATTTCCTATCATAAATTTCACCTGTTGGTAATTTTCGATCATAGTAGTGTGAGGAAAATTTTCTAAAGAGTTTGTCCTTAGGATAAATGATATTAGTTTCTCGAATTGGTCCATTTTCTACAAGTAAGTCTCTCTTTTCTGCATTAAGACCATCCCAAACTTTGGATCATAAATGTTTAAATGAAAAATAGGTTCAGGAGATTCAATATTTTCCTCTACACCAATATGATCATCATCAACATTTAAATTCACATCACCACATTTCATGGTCTTCAGACTCATCAGCAACATTTTCTTCTAAATCACTACTATTTTCATGATCATGAGACTCCCCAACAATATTTTGTGATTCTTCACCAACATTATTTTCTCTCAAATTTTCAACTAACTCATTCTTTGTAGAGAAAAATTTATGAAGAGATCCTCTTAAACTTTCGGCAATTTCGTTATCCTTTGCCTTTTTTTTCTTTTTCATATTACCAGAGAGTTGTTTCCTAAAAGACATGGCTTCGATAATTTATTTGCAAAAATTACCTACACATGACATAACAAAAATTTCCTATCAAAATTATCATTCCAACACATATTATATATTATAAAAATATTAACACATAGTCTAACATATTATAAAAATTGAACCTAAAAATTGGGTTTGAAATGAAATCAAATAATTCAATTCATCAACAACAACAATTCTATACATCAATTATCATATAATTTTATATCACTTGCAAAATTTTATATTAAATTATGAATTGATAATTCAAATTTTAAAAATTAGTTTACCTCAAAACTCAAAAGGGTTAGTGATGAGCGAATGCTCTTGGCACTTGCACTTGCAGCAACCAATGAATGGTGAATGGGCCTGACGCTGCTGAGGAGGAGGGACATGGACCTCCTGTCCTGCAGCAGATTGCAGTTGAAAAGGGAGTCAGGGTCAGACGGTAGGGAGGGAAGTGGGGAACAAGGGGGGGGGAGATATCGGGAAAAGGGGAGTGGGATATGGGAATAGGGTTAGTAGGGACTGAGTGGTCCCTTTAAATGTCGTTTTGTAAATATTTTTTTTTTTTTTTTGGTTGTGATGTCCTGGACCGAGTGATCCTTCTAATATCATTTAATATATATATATATATATATATATATATATATATAATTAAAGCAGGGCCCTTTTTTCATTTTTCTTGGGCTCTTGCCCTCCAGCCCCTATTTGGGCTTTGGACCTTTTTTTTTTCTTTTAATATCTAATTATTTGGATTTTTTTTTGGGTGCCCCCTTTAGTTTTGGGCCCTGACAGTTGCCCATATGGCGCTGAGTCTGGGCCGGGCCTGAAGATCCGAATCATGGATCCGCTACTAACGATATAGGAATACTACCCATCTCCCTACCCACCCTCACCATTAAACTAACCCCACTGACTTGGGTGTATTCAATTATTAATACTATACCATACGTCCTTTAAATATCAATCATTTCATTGTGCTTCATCCAAATTATCAAGTTTGAATTAATAATATTATGTGTCTGTGTAATCGTAAACGAGAGCCCATGGGCCATTACAAGTAGTTTCGCGGCCTTAGAAAAAGCCCACTAATACAACAAAGCAAGTTGACGGTTTTTAATTCACCTAGTTGCTCTTTACATGTCAAACAGTCAAGTCGCACTGAGTTGGTTTCCGATCCAATGGAATGAAGGTTATAGATTTGGGGAAAGGGAAGTCAAGATGGAGAAGGCGAAGAAGCGTCTGGAGCTGAACTCGGACGAGTCAGAGACCGTGTCGCGAGTCGCCATCCCAGCTCTCCAAATCGGAAAGTCCAGCTTCTACGATGCCTTCGCTCTGAGAGGTATCCGAGTCGAGCGAGTCGAACCCGGTGTCGTCATCTGTTCTTTCAAGGTCCCTCCCCGCCTCATCGTGAGTCATCTAATTAATCTGTTATTTAATGCTTAAATTGTTGACATTAATTAACTTGGATCTTCTTTTATTTAGTTTAGAAAAAAAACACATTCATTTCATAATTTTCATCTAACACTCTCTAAAGAATGTAACAGTGAGTGACCGCACATTTCTTTGATCATTAGGCGACCAAGAGAACATTGTGATAATTTGTCGATTAAACAAGTAGATTCTTTAAGGTTTTTAGTAATTTAGGAAATTTCATATGTGGACTGTTTCACGAAACATTTTAACATTTTGTTTTTTAGTTTGAGTACATTGAAAACCTTAATTAAACTTTCGCATTGGATATTAGTGATAATTATGCACATTTAGAGATAGCCTAATCACCTAAACAAATGCCACTTTCCCAAAAAAGGGGTCTCTCAGACCTACTCTAACATGTGTTGGAGTAAAACTCAAATTTTTGGATTTAAACTGACCCAACTTGCTCTAACTCCTGTGGCAGATATGAGTTAAAACTCAAAACTCATTTCTGGGCTACATTTAGCCTAGGATTTTCTCAGGGGGGGCTGGGCCACCATATTGATATATTTTTTTTAGTTTTATATTCATAAATTCATTGAATTTAACGGTTAAGATCTAATTTGATGAGATCCAAAGGTAAAAAAAATATTTAACGGTCTAAATTTAAATCCAACGACTAAAGTAATTAAAAAGAAATTCTTTTACGTGTTTCATATTTTTTTCATAGGGTTTCACGAGTTTTATGATGACGGTTAGTGATTTTTCAATATTTATCAGGACTCTAAATATTTTTAGATTAAAATGTTTATAAAATTAAATTATAATAGTCTACATAATTGTTTTTTTCTTTTAAAAAAGTTACTTTAAGAAGAAAAAAATTAGCCTAAATTCATTATTTAATAATCTGGAGCTAAAATTTTAACCCAAAATGGTTGAAGTAAAACAGCTGTTTCTGAGTTAAAACCTAAATTTTCTAGGCTAATTTTTTTTTGTTTTAACCTAAGGGTTGGAGATGGTCTAATATGCGGTTATGCACTCTTCGAATAGGAATTCATTTTCTGAAAGATCCTGGTTTCGCATTTGCACTGGGGCAATTGGATATGATTCAATCCACCTTTGATGTTGATCCACTAGATGTTACGGAAACTCCCTTTGCTACTTTTTTCTGGATCGACTAAAATTGGTGCCCAAAAACAAATAAAACAAACACTTTCTGGGCAGCCCATCTTTTTTAATAAAGCCGAGAGGGCCCGGCTACCCAAAAGTGTTGCCAGTGTGAAACGGTATTCATGAAATAGTCTTTTTGACCCAATTCTTGTGAAACTAAATACAAAAAGAAAAAGCTAATACTATTTATTAGTTAGCTTGCGTTCCGGGACAATCTAGTCATTAGTCAGTTCATAACAATCTCAATAAAGCAAGGGGCAAAGCTTCGTAGATAGCTTCCCTCCTTTGTCGGCCAAGCTGCAAGTTCATGAGCAAGTGAATGAACGAGCCATGATCCTAAAAGGAGTTCGGAAGGACTCTGCTTTGGATGGGGGGTGGTACCCTCCGTCATGCTGATCGCTTATGCACTTGTTTGAAAATGTTTTCCTGAAAACACATATGCTTATAAGTGCTTTTAGCCATTCTAGAATAACTATTGTGAGCTTATTTGAAAGCACTTAGGGCGTGTTTACTAACCCGGAATCGGAATGGAAGTATGGAGTTCGATTCCGATTACGGATCATACCTGTGTTTATTAAAATTGTGAGGAATCAACAGTGCGTGGGACCCACACAAAAAGTGGAATTCAATTCCTGAAATGGGAGGAATTGGACTCCCTGCATCGATGTGGTAATTGAATTCCGGGAGGATGAGGGAATTGGGAATCCATTTGCTCTTCCTATTATGCCCTCCAATCAATCTGCCGTTTAACCCAACAAATTAATCTCACGAGCTTGAAATCTGGTAGGGTGAGGGAATTGGAAATCTGATAGGTTCAGGAGATATGAGGGTCGCATACGAGATCTTGTCCCCGAACACCGGATCGCCGTCATTCAGGAGGCGATGGTCCAGCCGCTTCGATACCGCCAACACGCACGCGTGGACGTAGCTCCGGACGATGACGCCAACATCACGGATGTGCTTCTCGCTCGCCGGCTCATGTTTCTGGGTTTTTTCTTCTGCGGGGAGGGAAGATGAATGCGGCTGGGTTTTTTCTTTTGCGGGGAAGGAAGGTGAGTGGGTTCTTTATTTGGTTATACTAATTAAAGTTTAATTATATTACGAATAATTTAAGTAGTAACAAAATAATGCAAAAAACAAATTAGACCATAAATAATTTTTTATGAAAAAGTGTGTTTTAGTAATTATATTAAATTTAGATATTAAAGTAAATACTTAAATTTATTAAAAAAAAATTAACAAAATCATTTTAGTGTGTCTATGAAATAAAAAAGTAATTTAATTTTTCTTACTATTATATACTATATCAAATTTTATTAAAAAAAGTATATAAAATATTTGATTTGGGACAAGGGCATTTTAGTAATCATACTGGTTTATATTCCGATTCTGCTGAATTAGTAAACAGTTTTATGGAATTCTATTCCGATTCCAAACAGTTTTAGTAAACAATTTCAACAGGAATCTGATTCTGATTCCGCCTCATTTCAATTCCTCCTCAATCCAATTCCTCCTCAATTCAATTCCTCTCAATTTGATTACGGATTAGTAAACGCGTCATTAATTAGTATAACCTCTCTACTCTAGCAACTTTAATTTTTGTTGGAGATTTCAACACAATTTGTGCGAGTGGGAATATTTATTGGAAAAATAGTTCAGTTCTTTAGTTTTCTGCAAGAAATTAAAAGGATTTAGTTTCATGTGAGAGATTTTGAATGTTTTTCTTAATTATTTCGTTTGCAGGATAGAGATGGAACTTTGGCAAATGGTGCAATTGCAAACCTCGTTGATATAGTTGGTGGTTCCTTAGCTTTTATTCCGGACCTCCCTATGAATGTTTCTGTCGACATATCCGTCTCTTATGTCTCAACTGCCAAGGTTCATGTAAGCAAATCTTTCCCACTCCAATCCCTCATTTCTTCTTGATCTTTATATACAAGTAATCCAAAAGTCACTTCAAATCTTTCAACTTTCATTTTATTTCAAAAGTTTGTTCTTTTTGTGAGGATCCGGAGGTAAAAGAATATCATATCGGTAAAAGGATAAACCTTGGAGGGTTTATAAGAGGTTGGCCCTTACCCATATTGTCAATTTTTATGGTGAAACCCAACTTTCTTCATGGTATCATAGTAGGTTGATCAACGTGTGAAGTCTAACAGCCACACGTGCTCCACGTCACCCAATTCGTGTTGTTCACGTATTTGACTTGAATTCGCTACAATTGGTTTTATGGTGGAACCCTAACTTTCTTTAATTTTGGTATCCTTTCCCATGCATATATATATATATATAGAGAGAGAGAGAGAGAGAGAGAGAGAGAGAGAGAGAGAGAGAGAGAGAGAGAGAGAGAGAGAGAGAGAGCTCCGCGTCACCCAATTCGTGTTGTTCACGTATTTGACTTGAATTCGCTACAATTGGTTTTATGGTGGAACCCTAACTTTCTTTAATTTTGGTATCCTTTCCCATGCATATATATATATAGAGAGAGAGAGAGAGAGAGAGAGAGAGAGCATATGATCGATGGTCATGTTCGTGTCAATATTTGGTTTTATTTTTATTTTTTATTAACAGGAGATGAGATTCAAACTTGAACCTCTTCCGAGTTCCAACATTAAAAGGAGTTCGAAGTAGCATGCACAAATGCAAATGATCGTTATATTGTTTCAATCTTAATCATTGGATGTCCCTAAGATACCTCTAACATTTTGATGTCAAATTGCAGGACGAGCTAGAGATAACTTCGAGGGTTTTAGGACGAGCAGGAGGATACTGTGGAACAATAGTAACATTCAGAAATAAATCAACGGGAGAGATAATAGCTGAAGGTCGACATTCATTGTTTCGTTCAAATGCTGGTCCCGTTCCCAAACTCTGAGGAGTCCTTTACAAATTCATATATGTAGTTTTGAGAAACAAAACAACAGGAGGGGAGATTAGTGCCGAAGGTCGACTTTGCTTCTAGCCAACGAAAAGGATCGTTTTACAGGTGTTATAACAGGATCCTTGTAAAGGTTGTACCCAGTGCACAAGGCTCCCGCTTTACGCAGGGTTTGGGAGAGGTGAATGTCGGCTAGCCTTATCCCCATTTATGGAGAGGTTGCTCCCAAGTCTCGAACCCGAGACCTACCGCTCATGGGCGAAGGCACTTGCCATTGCACTAAGTGCGATATAACATGATCCTTGTAAAACCTGAAATTACATCTTGATACATTCAACTTCACAGGTCACGGAACCCCTTTGAAACATTGCAAATTTCTTGCATAACTCTTCTTTCGTCTGCAAACTTGTATCAGTAATCATCTTGTCTAAAACTCTACCGTTCTTTAGCAAATACTATGCAAGTTCCATCTCAACTTCCCGCCCCTTGAATCTTTGTATGGCGATGGTCTTGAGGTGCGACAGCAAACAAATAGGTACAAATCCTGGTGGATCCATTGATGCTCTGAACATTGATGATAACACTCGCCGCTCTGAACCATAATTTAAAGAATGAATGAATGAGAATTATCGTAAAAACTGTATATTGGTATCATATTAGGAACTTACGTGTGAATATACGTCTAAGAAAAGATCTTTGAGATTAGCTGATCTTTTAAGAACCTCAGCTAGCAATTCCGAGTAATAGCAATCATAAAGAACCAACTTCAATTGCTTGAGATTATTAAAAGACGGCAGATCCCCAGCCTTCATATGAGAAACGATTAAACATAAATCCATACAAAACTTTTCAACTCAGGAACTGCAGAAATGAACAAGAGTAAGCTTCTACTTACCTCAAAACAAGAGGCCGAAAGGGACAGATATGTAACATTGCGAACTTGTCCCAGAAGCCCGTTACACAGTTGGAAAAGGCAGGCCGTTGTTCTCCAATGCAGTCGTCTAGAGCAATATTGGCTTTCACTAGAGATTTTGCACTCTCCAAAACACAATTTGCCACAATGTCCAGCTCAATATCAAGGTTTTCAAGCATTGGAGCATCAATAGAAAGATTGTAGACGTGGATTATCAACAGACAAACTTATCTGTAACGTTTTCAGTTTAGGTGCAGAAATCATGAAATTTAAAACTTCCTTGGCTCTGATACCTCCATCGATAGTCAAGCCTTCAAGTACAGGGCAGTCGGAGAAAAGCTTCGATATCATGTCATTATCAAAATAATAAACTGTAACATGGAGAAACTTGAGAGAAGGAAAATAGCCGGGGTTAGGAAGAGCGCACATAAGGCCATCTCCAACCTAAGGAGGGCCAGATTGTTAGAATTCATTTGTCCCACATCGGTCAGAAGGCTTGAGAACAAGTCATTTATATAGAATTACTCTACTCTAACTAACTCCGAGACTTTTTGTATTAAAACCCCACACCTAACGGATTGAGCAAGTGGCCAAGTGGGGACAGTATCGGTGTTGTTGGAGTGGGCCCATGGCCTGTCTACCTGAAATTTAAGATGGTATCAGAGTCAGGGGACGGGTCCGTACATCCAGGTGAATGGGTGGGGGTTCCCTTTGGCCCCGCGCAAATGGGTGAGCCCCGACTTGGCTCCATGTAGGCCAAGAGATGCCACGTGCATTGCCCTAGCGTGAACGGGTGAGCCCCGGCTTGGCTCCACGTGGTTGCCGATGTGTGGAACTCCGGAGTGTTAGAATTCATTTATCCCACATCGGCAAGAACAGTTGAACTCATGGGTTTTCAAAAAAATCATTTGGCAGTCATCTAGGAAATCTGAAATACTCATTTGAAAAAACATTTGGCAGTCATCTTTCCTTTGGGGATACCTCGTTTCTCCCATAGCTGGAGGGACTCTTGTGGACTATTATGGTGGTAAGGTAGTGGGGAGTAGCTTTCTGGTCTTTAGCTACCTTTCTTACACCGTGGGCTGCGGAAAATTCTCTATGGGCCCTCCTTGCGATGAGAGCTCTCCTTGGAATTGCAGGAGTGGCTCTTCCGTGCATGAACAACATGGTAGCGAGGTAATGGTGATCTTCAAACTTCCTTTTTGGATTTACCAATCACATTAAAGCCTATTTAATGATGTTCTTACAGGTGTTTTTTTGTTTGTTAAATTGTTGGTGAAGCTAAAATGTTGATCAAGGTATGAACTTGGTGTTTCAGGTGGTTTCCTCAAACAGAACGAGCCAGGGCTGTTGGACTTGCAATGGCCGGATTTCAGCTTGGAAGTGCAGTAGGACTCATGCTTTCTCCAATCCTCATGTCACAAGGTGGTAAATTTGGACCATTTGTGATTTTTGGTTTATCTGGATTTCTTTGGGTTAAATTTCTAGTCAAAGTGGATCTTTGTTAAAGAAAAAATTATATCCTATATGAGTTGAATTTCTAGTCGCTTATTGAATGTGAATATTGTTCCTTCTCTGCAGTCAATCGGTTTCGTTGGTCCTGGGATAGCTCTTGTGGGTTTAATTACAGCAAAAAGTCCAGCAGTTGCATCTGCTTGGCTTACATCCGCAGTCGGGCTGAAATCTTTTAGTCACTCTGGTTTTCTTGTGATTCTCCAGGTTGGCATTAGTGAATGTTATTGTCGTTAGTACGTAGAATTAATTCTTTATTTGTTTGGTGTGACTTAATTAATTAATTTTTCTTTAACCAGGAGATCACTCCACAGTACTCCGGTGTTTTACATGGTATGTAAAATTAGAATAAATTTTCAGTATATTAATGCTTCCAAAGCGTAGTGAAATAACTTGTTAATTTGGTAAAATTTGATGTTATCCTGTTATTTATTATTGTGTTAGGAATTTCAAATACTGCTGGAACATTTACTGCCATTTTGGGAACAGTTGGAGCTGGTTTCTTTGTTGAACATCGCTCTTATATATTCTTGCTGCCCTTTTCTACGTCGTCTTTTCTACTGGAGAGCGAGTAAATTTCGATGAACCTGGTAAGTATCATCGTTATCGATTCTTCAAATTTGTTTCTCCTTCCAAGCCCCTGCCCCGCTTTTAAACTTCCATTAGGAATTGTGGAGATTTGACGTGATGACCAATTTGTTGCTTTGTTATACTGTTTGAACATTTACACGGTTTTAAATTCTTCAAATTTGTTATACTGTTTGAACATTTACACGGTTTTGAAATTGAGATTCATCGTAAAACTAATTGGTAATATGAGGAGTAGTTCAAGACCATATAAGCACATACCAAACCTTGTCCCTCACCGATGTGGGACAACTCTCAACACGCATCCGCACGTATGGCGGATTTTCAAGCTTATACGTGAACAACGACTAAGTGACGTGGAGTGCGTGTGTCCGTCTGGCTCCACACGAGGATAACATGTTCTGATATCATAATGAAATTGAGGTTCCACCATAAAATCAATTAACAATATGAGGAGTAGCCCAAGACCATATAAGCACATGGAAAACATTGTCCCACATTTATGTGGGACAACTCTCAACAAGGGAAGCATTTCCATCAGGTAATTAGACTTGGCATTTTGGACCTGACCCGTTAATATTAGTATTTGGATGGATGTTTAACGGGTCGGATCGCTAACGGGTGAACCCGTTAACAACCCGTTAAATAACGGGTCATTTTGGATCAACCCGTTAGTTGATGATGTTTTAGTAATTTCAGTAAAGTTTTAACAACAAAAAATAAACTCCATGCAAAAAAAAAATAATAATAATAATAATTGTTAACGGGTGAAACGAGTGACCTGTTAGTTTAATGGGTCGGATTCGGATGATCCGTTAACTTAACGGGTCAAATTGAACCCGATCAAAACCCGATAAACCCGACCCGTTTAGATATAAAGTTAAAAGTTGAAAGGTCACAAGCACGTGCTGAAAATGAACGCTCAAAATGGAAATTTGAGCAATAGGAAACTGATTTACGTAAATCCCATTTTCTCCTTTTTGCGCTCAGCCATTTATTTATGTCTCTTAATTCTTTTTTAATTTATTTAATTATACGGCTAGAAAAAGAGAGGACAGTACACGAGAGGAGAAAAAGGAAGTGTGGAAATAACTTCTCTCGATCGAAAGGGGGACGCAATCACGCAAAAAGGCAGAAGCTCTCAATCAAGGAAAAGGAACCTCGTCATATCCCTATTTTTGGGGATTCCGAGATCCAATGATCGTGATCATTTATCGTATATAATGCGATCAGTTTTCGTTAGATATTATTTATATTTAATTTTAATTTTAAAATTTATAATAATTTTTTATTACACGATATAAGATGAATGATCACGATCATGGATCCCCGGATCCTTTTCCCTCAATCAATTCATGTGATGCAACCCGCCCTACAACTTGGGTTGCCACTAGAATCTGCAGCCTATTAAAATATCTTCCGGTATTTGACTAAATATTATTCTTTCTTTCTTTCTTTTCTTTTTCTTTTTTCTTTTTTTAGGAGCAAATTCCAAACATGTATTGCGTCTTGAGTTCGACTCTTGGTGTTGATGAATTACACGATGATGATCAAATGGAGACTTTCTCTGTGAGTCTTTCCAGCCCCAGAAGAGTGAATTGCTATAATGAAATCACCAACTGATCCCTTTTTAAAATATTTTTAACTGAAAATGTTGTTGTTGATTTGTCCTCCATCAAAACGTGTAATGGCTACTAAGGACCTGGCTTCTCGGCCCTCTCAGTTCCAATATACTCTCATCCACTTCTATTTGTGCGGTCATGGTTAAGTCACGTCAACATTTTATATCACTATTGTTTTTTGTCTTATTGTCCTATAAAAAATCAATATAAAATGTTGATGTAGCTTAACCAACGCACAAAATAAAAGAAAATGAAGGTGTATGAGAACTAGGGCAGAGAAGCCGGCTCTGGCTACTAATCCACAAAATCACTTGAATTAGTCTTAAATGTAAGACTTTAATAAACATTCAATTATTTTATTAAATAAAATTCTATAGGTACGAATCATAAATACAAGAATGCTACTAGTAAACAACAAAGCCAAATGTTGATCAAAATTGCATCAGACGGCCAAAAACTCCATAACTTCTGGCAATGAAGAGAACACCAAGTCCTCATAATCTGCAGGCAAATCAGGGAAAGCAAATCTCCAGTTTCCGGTATGAAGATGGTAACAAGAACAAAGCTAAGCACAAAAGTCTTCCTGTCCTGAGGCATATCAAGGTTGCTGTGAAGAAAGTTGCCGGGCTTTTCACAATTCTTTTCGGACAGCGAAAGGCCGCCTCAAAGGCTGCTGCTTTGATTGAAACAAAAAGAAATGATTCTCGAATCCGAGGGATTTCGTGTAAGTTTTTAGCTTCCATGTTGGTTCTGCGCAAATCTAAAGTAAACTTGTTCGGAAGTGCTTTTAGAACAGCTAAAAGGACTTTCAGATACCATTGGATTTTTATTGAAAATTTT